TATGCCTGACTTTATACTGACATGTATTGCCATTCAGACGCACGCAGAAAAATCATTCCTCTCGGCGTTTGAATCCATTACATTCGGCTTAAATCTATTGATTGTGCGTATGTTTTCATTTTAGTGTTAGCCTCGAGAACTCTTTCAGAATTTTGTTTCAAGAGTCTGCTATTATAACCACAGAGAAGAGACTTTCTCTCCCGGGTGGGGAGGGTACTCTCAGAAAAATTGGGTGGGTTTGTGCGGTCCCCTTTCCAAAACCCTAACCCTATTTATGACCAATATATGCGATTTTCTCTACCCTATTTATGACCTGACCGAAAATTCGAAACCCTATTTATGACCTGACCCTTAAATCAAAACCCTGTTTAATACCTGCGTTATAATTAGTTCCCAAGTTCAGACCAATGTTAAATTACCGTAAACATAATTTGTGAAGGGCTTTTGTTGACTTTCTTTTCGATAATGATGGAAAAGTGCTTCTTCTTCAAAACATACCATATCAAGGCTAGAGTGCAAAAACCATACCCTATTTGTGACCAAAATTGCCAAAATCAGCTAAAATCGATAGCCTATTTACGGCTGAAAAACCATACCCTTTGGGGCCACACATACCTGTATAGCCCATATAAGGGAGTACCCGGGATTTCTCTCAGGACCTTACAGCTTACCCATTTCCACGTTAAACAATTGTTCTCCTTGAGAGAGATGACAGTAACAGTGAGCTCGGATTTATGATCTTAGAGAATTCTAAAAGATAAAACTCCAAAATCAAAACGGCCGGCTCTAAAACTCTTACAAGATTAGAACTTTGGCAATTGAGCATGTTTACTCGCCATACTCAGCCACGACCTTACTCACTCGGCTCAGGGTGGGATTTTGTCACTTATCCCAACTCACGCGCACTGGCGCGATCGCTTCTATTTCCAGGTGGTTTTCTCTGCCTCATTGCTAACCTGAGAGCTAAACGGTTTCGAACAAGTGCTGTTTCCGAACTTCTGGTGTGCCATGAACCACGTATGAACATTTCGTGTTTTCCTTTTTCGTAACCTCGTCCCAAATAGAGCATTTTACAGCTGTCTTCTCGGTAACCTGGCCTTTGAATGGCAGCGAGGCTGGAGATGACCTTGCTTTGATACAGACCTCTCTGCTCTTGTCATGTAAATGCACCTAATTAGCGTTAGAACAACTAGAACAAAAGCAGTGAGGTCTGTATCAAAACGAAATCACCTCCAGCCTCGCTGCCATTCAAAGGCCATGTTACTGAGCAGACAACTGTAAAATGGTCCATTGGTTGTTCAGAAATCGAATCTATTAGACGGTCTACGAACACAGATGAGATTTCCGATCGTTATTTCCAAAAGAACAAAGAGAAACGAAATAGAGCCGAGATAACAGAAGTAAAACAGCATCGAAGCGACAAGCGGAGAGTCAAACGAAATCCTTCGCAGTCTAGCGTCTTTAAAACCAAGCATCTTGTATTTTGGTAAGTTAAAAGATGGCAGCCTCATCTCTGACTCGAGATAATTCTGCGCATGTGTCCTCAGATCTAAGGAAAGAAAATTTCAATGAAATGTTTATGCCAAAAGAGACGCCCGATCAGCGATGCGATGTTATTTTGGTGGTCAAAGATGGCAAAGAATTCAAAGCTCATAAACAAGTTCTTTCAGAGGCAAGTCCCTTCTTTGAAAAACTACTAAACAGCGACATGAAGGAGTCCAGAGAAGGAATTGTTCGTTTGGAGATGTTTTCCGAGTCTGCTATGAGAAATACACTGCAGTTTATCTACACGGGTGATATTCAGATATTGGCTGAAGAGAATGCCCGAGACCTTGTTGTTTCAGCCGATTATTTCTTCCTTCCATACTTAAAAAGGCTCGCTGAGGCAGCTTTAGTAAAAATGTTGAATACTTTAAACTGTATTTCACTTTACAATTTTTCCCAAAGATATCACTGCGAAGAACTTTTTGCGAAGACCGAAAAATACTTCTTTACAAATTTCACCGCCGTATACGAAACGAACC